AGACTCTTGGCACTCTTAGGTGAGCAGACTTAGTCAGCCTGTGTTGCCCTAACACAACCTGCCATGCAGAACCAACTGGCCACCCAGCAGACCTCTTATGGACAACCCTCCTGAAATACCTATGGCAACAACACACGAGCTACTGGCACAAATCAGGTTCCTGTGCCAGCAGAGAACTACCCAAATCAAAATGGATACAGCCCCCGGAATGCTGAATGCCTGCTCTGCCACTTTGACAGTGTATCTACTGGTTGCACAGACAAGATTGCAACATGCCCAGGAGCCCAGAAATACTTGGAAGAAGGTCTTATTGAGAAAGACAGTCCATATCATGTCCTTGCTGGTGGCCAATTTATCCCACATCATTGGCCTGGTTGGGATCTCAAGGAAAAAGTTGATGGCTACTACAAGGACCACCCAGAACACCAGCCAAAATCACAGCCTACCCCTCTCATTGTCTTTCACAATGTGATCATCAAAGACACTGGCTCAAACTCTGAATTAGAGGTTATGGTGGATCATTTGGTGCTGCACATTCTCACTGAAAATCAAGGTGCTCATGGCTGAGGCAGAACGACTCAAGAAACAGCACACAGCATCCATGGGAAAATTGGTCAAGGTCTCGGAAGTCTACACACCAGCTGCTAGAAAAGAGAAATCAGATGCATGTGTGCATCATAGTACTGCACACTTTGCCAGCATATGGGTTGTTGAACTGGAAAAATTGGATGCCATGCCAGACTCACTGAAGCCCCATACCAAATGTGCTGAATATGTGGAGGACAAAACAGTTTTGTGGGCTCTTGCAGTCACTCTTGCCGAAACTCTGGTCCAAGTTCCCAGCAAGGTCCTGGCATCAGCATGTCCACTGTTCAGCAAGGTCCTCAAGGAAGCATATGGCAAGAAACCAGCTATTCCAGATGTGATTCAGGTAACCAAGGTACAAGATGGCGAGGCTCCAATATACCAGATCGAAGGCATTTCAGAAGATGTGGATGGGTTATTGGTTGGCAAAGACATGGTCCCCCTCTGGCAGATCAACTGCTTAATTGGTGAATATGACACCCCTGTTCCTTGCATTCTCAATGGCAGCTCTGGCATAGTCGGTATCAGTGAGCAGTGCTGCAAACAAATCAGACTTGCATACACCCCAATAAAAGGCCAGTGCATGGAGTCCATGAACAGATTGGTTGACCAACTGCTTGGCCACATTCCGAATTTATGTGTTGGTGTCTCCAGCCTCAACTTCTACATCCAGGCTTTTGTGCTCCCCAACCTGCCTTTCCACCTGCTCCTTGGTCACCCCTTCCATGTCCTTGCCTCTTGCATCAACCAGGATTATACGGATGGCAAGCAGAAGATCCAGATCACCTGTCCAAATTCCCAGCAGACAATACACCTATGGACCCAATCACACTGAATGGGAAGAAAATGTGTGGTCCAGGATTTTTAATTTGGGACCATCTTCACTGGCAACCAGAAGATGGCATGGAAACCTCGATTAATCGGCACTCAATCTTGAATAACGGCTGTCAGATAGACACACTGGACTCAGATACCATACCCTGCGATACCCATCCTGTATATGCAGCCCGAAAATACAAACCTGCAGACAGACACATGAAGCCTGTCTCAACAACAACACTGGAAAGTGTAAAAATACAGAGACACTTTCCCTCCAACCCTCTTGCTATGCTTCCCCCACTCCCTGATACCCCACTGACCTTTATTCCCAGAAAATGGCTTACCCTGGAATGATTTGAAGAACTGCAAATAAACAAATACAGATTCCTTTGGCCCAAAGAAGAAAAACTTGTGGCTTGGGTTCTTCATACCCACAAAAAAGTGTTTGCTTGGAATGAGCAAGAGATGGGTTTATTTCAAAGTGATTATTTTGACCCAGTCTGAATTCTGATGATCAAACATATACCCTGGCAACAGAAGAATATTCTGGTGCCCCCCACTTTACTGCCAAAGGTCTTGAAGGCCTTGCAGGACAAGCTAAATGTGGGGATTCACAAACCCTCCCAGTCCTCCTACCATTCCCATTGGTTTTGCATCCTGAAGAAAGACAGATCCCTGCACCCAGATTTGGATCTGCAACTGCTCAATGGCATAACAATTCAGGACTCAGCCCTTCCTCTGCTTTCATAACCGCTAGTTGAATCATATGGCAGCCATTCCATGTATACACATTTTGACTTCTTTTGCAGCTTTGAACAACACCTCCTGCATCTGGAAAGCTGGGATCTCACCACCTTCCAGTCACTCAAAGGTTCCTTTCACAGCACCCAAGATCAGATGGGTGGAACAAATTGTGTCCAGATCATGCATGAGGATGTCACCTTCCTCCTTCACAACAAAATCCTCAAATATACCATCCCCTTCATTGACAATGTTCCCATCTGCAGCCCACCAACATGATATGAACTCCCTGATGGTGATTTCAAATGGCACTCCCAAAATAAGGGCATTCATTGTTTTCTGTGGGAGCACATGGAAACTGTAATTTGGATCCTGACCTGCATCAAACATTCTGGCAGAACATTCAGTGGTCCAAAAATGGTTATAGCAGCTCCTGAAGTTGTCATCCTTGGACAATGATGTACCTACATGGGCTAACAGCCTGAGCCTTCTAAGGTTGTGAAAATATGGGACTGGCAGCTTGTTAGGGCAACACAGGCTAACTAAGTCTGCTCACCTAAGAGTGCCAAAAGTCTAAGCAGGCAACAAGGAAGTGGAGTAGACCTAATGACTAAGACCTATCTACAGTATAGGTACCTGTGGATGATCCTAAGAGACCAAGTCTGAAGAGACAGTCCCCAGGCAGAGTAGGCCTTATATTTATACCTCTGTGGTGGAACCTGCTAGAACATCTTGCTTACTCAGCCTAGTCAGGTGGTCAGGTCATATGACCAAGGATGAGGTCATATGAGGTCATGCACAGCCATGCACAGCAGGTCACCTGACCATCCAATCCTTCCAGCAGGTTCCAGCACATGCCAAGGTATACCAGCTACTTCCATGTCATAAAGGCTTAGTCATGTCTCTTGACCAAGCAATGAGCTGGTGCCCTGACATTGGGCAACATGATCCAACAATAGTTGATGATCAAATAACCAAACAGGTGATGAGCAAATTGGAGAGTAGTGAGTTGTATGTCAATCAATGCCTTGACATTTGTTCACAAATGGAGGGATTGACAGGGGTGTTATAGAGTGAGTGGGGATCAGCAGCCAACAGGCACAATCATGTGTGTGTTGTGTGCACATTTGGAATGATTAAAGCTTCATGTTTAGAACCTAATGACCTTGGACCATGGGGTTCCTAAGAGATAAGGTTTAAAGAGCTACAGGGGCTATACCTAGGGTTCTATAT